TCACTTCTAGTCGGAGCTAAACGGACACCCGCTGGGCCTCTTATAAAGGTAAGTATCTCGTAATTTCCGTATTATTCTCAGTAGGCTTGTGATTTTTGTTCTTAAGCAAATCTTTCCAATTCTCAGATATCTCCTCAAACTGACGAGTCTGAGAAAAAGAGGTTCCCACTTACTGCAGAGAGCTTAGATACCAGAGGTCTTTATATCTTTGATGATGGTTTTCGTCTTGTTTTATGGTTTGGTGGCTCTATTTCGCCTGATATTGGTAGAAATTTGCTTGGTGAAGACTTTACCAGTGACTACTCAAAGGTGGGCTTCTTTACTTCCCGTTTTGATATTTTCTCTTGCATCAAATTTTCACTTCGGTTTGCAGCTCCAATATCTGATTACTGATTTCTAAATGGGTTGTATCATCCAAATGAAGGTAAAACTACGTGTTTCAAGTAGGCACTTAGACATGCATGCTCGTTTGAACAGGCTAAATGCTTGGGAAATTGGTTAGATGATGTCCTTACTGCAGCAAAACAGTTGGTTCGAAGTTGGGATCCTGTTTTTGTCATGGGATTACTGCCGCAAAACAGTTGCCTAGCTGATTCATTGGATTACGTATCATAGTTGTTTTACTTTCGACTCTGTAATTATGGAACAGTTTAATTATGCATCAATAATATGGTGTTTAGGGTAGGTTTTAATTCATGAATTGGTTACTAAATGGTTTCTATGTGTTTTGCTGAATTCAGGTTATCCTTTCTCTGCGAGACAACGAAATGTCTAGAAAGCTAATGAAGATACTTAATAAATTTAGGGAGAGCGATTCATCGTATTTTCAATTATGTCATCTCGTGAGGCAAGGTGAACAACCAAGAGAAAGTTTCTTCCTCCTCACAAATCTAGTGGATGACAAGAACAGCGGTGCAAATAGTTATGCTGACTGGATTTCGCAACTACACCGACAAGTCCAACAAAATGCATAATCTTCAGGTACTCATCTTGTCGGATTTGAATTTTTTCATGTTAGCTACATACCGAAAGCTTTTTTCTCCTCCCATTTGGTTTTATGGAAGGGTCGTAATGAATGAATATCTTCTCTTTCAACATCTTTGTCTCTCATTTGGTGCATGCTGGATAAACCGGGCCACAAGCTTTATGTAACTGTTGATCGGACAAGTTACAGTCTTTTGTGTTTCCGTTTTATATTAGTTTGACCGTATTAATAGTTTGATATCATGATTTTGAATTGAGTTCAAGTTTCCGATTTCTTATGAGGATCTCTTTGTTTACGATACAGCTATAGTTTGCCTAGTCTTATGAATCACAATTACAAATACGGAGATTATTATCTACCTAGCCTTGTTTTAGACATTTCCTTAGACATGTAACATCTATGACTGGATGCTTAACATTTCGTCGTATCACGTATGTCCTTTTTTATTGCTGAAAATACGAATAAGTTTCTTCTCTTATGAATTATCCATTTTTTGTAGGTAAATAATATTCCAGTATATTATACGAGCAAGGTGTTTGGTTCCGGTCAAAATCCATATTGCCAAGTTTGAAACATAAGGAGCGTGATTCTTCTTGTATTTACATTGCAGAATTTCCAGATAACATGCTGTCTTTCGCCTGTTAAAAATGCTCGGTTTGGTGATTCACTGGATCACGAGTGAAAGGGGATTGAGAGATACGGCTTTTAAACGATTTCTTTTATATATATCACTAATTGGGATAAAAAGTGACATAATATCTAATTTATGAGGAGTTCTTTTCGGTTAGAACTTCGATTTTTGGTTATAGCTTGTCATAATATTTGTTCGTGAATTTTAATCTCATTTTTCGTTTCTTAGAGTTAATAATCATAATATGGATTCTTATTTGGGTCTGTGTATTGTAGATGTAGACCGGTAATTTCTCGACTCAACTTTAGCTGTTACCGGAGTGTTTCCTGTGCTAGGTCTTGTTTGGTTGGGTAGATTAACCATTATTAACCTAACAATTGGACTTTATTTGATATTTTGTATCCCTAATAACTTGCCGGGACCTGCAAATATTATCTTGCCTTTTAGGGAACTTTTTTGTTGGAATCCCGGTGTCTGATAAAATAATTGGGTTTTTATTCGATTATTTAATCTTAAATTGGCTAATCTTATCTTGCCAATCAAGCGAGGCCTTAAACATCAAAACTTTCAGAGAAAAACAATAGAAGAGTAAAAAAATAAATTCGTTGAAGAAGCATGGATTAGCATTTGAAGTATGTACAAAAGCTCCAAACAGGTCTAAACAGACATACCAAGAAACCTACAACACTTTTAGTTTGGTCCACACACAAATTAATATCAAAAAGTAATGCTTAAAAGAATCAATGCTAATATATACAATATCATAGTCAGATTAAGATACATAAACAAAACTCAATAAAAATTAAACGAACCTAGCTACGCATAGAAAGATAAGAGATCTCGTGTCGTGACACCATCAATAGGTGAAGCTGCCATATGATCTGATCTTCCCTTCCCTTCTGTGTGCATGAAAGAGAAGTTAAGATCATGCTGGCAGCTTTAACCACTAACGGTGCACGGTTGATCCATCCATGCATTATAAATATATTTTGAATGTATACTTTCCTGCTCGATTCATATGGTGTGGCGGTGGAAGGTGAACATGGCGGCAGAAATGGTGGTGGTGAAATTAGTGAAAACTTGGAAGGAAAATTGATGAATATATATAGATGGTTATGGTGAGAAGTGAGAAGGAGGTTTTTAGTTCAAATATTGAGTTTTGTTTTGCTAGATATAAAATATATTATGGTATAAATTAGTAGATTAATACTGCTTTATGAGGCAGCAGGGAAATGTGTACATAAAGGGAGACAAACAAGTTGGATATTGTCACGCCGAAGAGCCACCACCATTCGGGGGCACAACCTGTGTGACTTCCTAAATTCGACTCGTGCTCCATTTATTATTAACCGGGAACTAAAATTAGGTATTAGTCTCTAATATAGTGCTTCATGTTGGAAATGCATAAGCTAGATTCAAAGTATTGAATGTGGAAGTATACATGAACGTGTCTCTTAGTTTAGTTTTCAATGACTATGGTTCATTTATTGTGCTAGATACATGAAGGAAAATCCTATCTATGTAGGAGTTCATTTGTAGTGTGTCAAAACTAAAAGAAGAAATCTAGAGAGGAAAAAAAGAGTGTCTTTGAGTGACACAATCAGAAAAAAAAAGAAGAAAAAAAAAAAAAATATTAGGATTTTTTTTCATTAACTTAAGTTTTTGGTGGCTTAATCAAAATATATGTACAATATGATAATTTTTTTTATAATTGACGGGGGCCCTATCCATATGGCAGACCCGCCAATGTCTCCACCAGTCGTCTCAATTTTGATTTATTCATCTACATGTTTATCACTCTAAATTATTAAACCGGTCCCTCAAAGTGAATCAGAGCCACATTTTAAGAGTAATAACGATCGCGACTACAAGTGGAGCTTTTCCATTTTAAATGCTTGCAAAAGATAACTATGATCGATGAAGCATACAAATGAAAATTTTCCTTAGTCGACAAGATGTTTACGAATCGATTGAACAAAATATGTTGAATCAGAGAATTTGACTTCATTATGCCAAGCCGAAAATAAGGCATTCAAAGAAGACAAGTTGAAAAATCAAAGATCGCTACCCGTAATTTTGAGAAAAAATCTCATGCTACTATATTCGAAGTAAGCATGGGACATTTTTAGCAATACTTGCAAGGGCCTTGATAAGGAGAATAAGGTACAACTCCAATCACTTTGTGGAGTGTTCGAGTCTTTGGACACGATAAACTCCTAAGAAATTTCTAACTACGCGGTCTCAAAAGTGGTTTTGATCGTTAGTCAATTTGGCAGACAGTGGCGAATCCATAATTTTATATGGGGACATATACATAATAGGGGGTATTTGTCAAACACCCCTCTTTGATGTGCATGTAGTGGATTTTAATTTTTTTTTAAATATAAACCATTTAAAAAAGTGAAATAAAAAAAACCAAAGTTTGTTTTAAGGGGGTATTTGTCAAACACCCCTCTTTGCAATTTGACTTCTTGATAAATCCAATTTTATTAATTGATATTTGTTATAAATCCAATTGACTCAAATTATCCAAAATACCCCTATTTAATATTACATAAAATTTCCATATAATATTATTTTAAAAAAACCATTATTTTTTGGTAGATATGCAAATCCCCCTATTTTCTCCCCACCATCCCCTATTATCTCCTATCACGCCTCTTTCTCCTTCAATTAGTTAATTAATTAATTGAGTTTTTTTTTTTTAATTTATGTTTTAGTTTTGTCGTATTTTTTTTATTTTTTAAATGATTGTTTTTATACATCTTTTTTTAAAAGTTAAATTTATTAAAATAAAAATTATTTTTTACAAATTGAAATTCACTATAAACTTACAAAAAAACCACTATGCGATTATAATATTTTGTTACGAAAATCCCTTATAAACTTATCGAAAATCTCTATGTAATTAATAAAAACCACTATATAATTAATGATAACCACTCTGTAAATTAACGAAAATTACTATGTAATTACCACTCTGCAATTAATGAAAACCGCTATGTAATTAACAAATTTTATTACAAAAATTCACTATAAACTTATCAATGAACAAAAACCACTCTATAATTAATGAAAACCACTCTGTAATGAACGAAAATCACTATGTAATTAACGAGTTCCATTAAAAAAAAATCAGTAAAAAATTATCAATTAACGAAAACCACTCTGCAATTAATAAAAACCGCTATGTAATTAATGAAAATCACAATATAATTAACAAATTTCATTACAAAAATTCACTATAAACTTATTAATTAACAAAAACCACTCTATAATTGCAGAGTGGTTTTCGTTAAGCAAACAGGTTGCGGGCAAGGCTAATAATGCTCATGAAGTCTTTCTGGTGGAAACAAGCTCTTCGTCGCCGTTAATGGCAAATCTGCCGTCCATCAAGGTGAGAACTGAAGGTTACAAGCAGACGGTTGGGCTGGATGAGCAGTTCTCTCATGTGGAGCATTGCTTCGGGATTGGCAAATGCAGCTCCACCACCTCTTTCTACTGTTGGCGGCGCCGCCGCCGCCACATCAGGTGGAGGAGAAAACGTGAGTCGGGTAATCTCAAATCTGCGATGATGAGAAATCGGAAAAGTCGGATCATGGAACGGTGGCGGCGACAAGGCTGAGGAAGCCACCATTTCCATTGCCATTGCAACTAGTGCAGAGGAAGTTTGCTGATATTCATTGCCGTTATAGTGTGTGTGTGTGTGAGAGAGAGAGAGAGAGAGAGAGTGTGTGTGTGTGTGTGTGTGTATGTGTGAGAGAGTGAGACAGAGAGAGTCAGAGTCAGAGAGAGAGAGTTTGCAAAGCAAGTTTGTTGATATTCATTTTCGTTAACATTAATTCTATATATATATATATATATATATATATATATATATATATATATATATATATATATATATATATATTATCAGAAGATTTGGATAGAAAATAATGAGGGGTATAATGGTGATAATTAATTATTTTATATTAATAAAAATTGTTTTGGATTTATCTTAAAAATGTGAAATAAATTTGGGCCTGTTGTAACTACACTTGTGTGATGAGGGGTGTTTGTCAAATTTTCCCTACATAATATCACTGACCAATAAAAATATTATTAATGAATCTTCCTATACAATTAATTTTTTAGGTTGTTACTACAATAGGAAAACAATTAGATTAATATTATTTTTTCCAGAAACAAATGAAGAAATTAAAACAAAAGAAAAATGATCGGGCGATTGTTTATTCTAAAGAAAAGCTAGCTAGAGGAAGAGGATGAGGAGGAGAAGGGAGTACAGAATCACTGAAATAGGTAAAAACTAAATACAAACTAATCATACTTATAATGTAACAACAATAAACTTAACATAATTCCGATGTCGTCCAGCGGTTAGGATATCTGGCTTTCACCCAGGGGACCCGGGTTCGATTCCCGGCATCGGAACTTTTTTAATTTTATATGTGGTATATAATTTAAATTTTTAAGGCTGTTTTTGTTTGTGTATGTATAGTTGCAATTCCATGATTTTTTTTTGGGTCAACAATATTTAATTAGATTTCAATAGCTTAATCATTCGTATGCCAGGTTCGGTTTCGGTTTCAGTTTCGGTCTGTAACTTGATTTCTTCTAACCCGGGTTCGATTCCCGGCATCGGAACTTTTTTAATTTTATATTTTTTATATAATTTAAATTTTTAAGGCTGTTTTTGTTTGTGTATGTATAGTTGCAATTCCATGATATTTTTTTTTTGGGTCAACAATATTTAATTAGATTTCAATAGCTTAATCATTCGTATGTCAGGTTCGGTTCGGTTTCGGTTTCAGTTTCGGTCTGTAACTTGATTTTTTTAGAATGCAAACCTCATCGTACGAGGCATTTATTTAGAATTTCTTCTAAATCAGTATTATAACATGGTCGTCAAATGATGAGAATGTCTCTACTTAGTTTGACTTTTAAGATTAAGATACGAAAATAATTAAGAATATTTGTTTCGTCATGGCAGTTATCTTATGTTTTTTTTTTTTTTTTGTTCTTTCAAATTTTCTTTTGCAGATATATATCAGACAAAGGACAAGGAAAAATTTCTTGGCTATATGCATACTTTATTTTTATTATATGGTCCTGCATGCAATTTCCTTTGTTTTCCATATTCCTCCCAACACATCGCAATTTGGAACGACTTGTTATTAATCGAACAACCGAGATATTAAAATCTGAAATATATGAGTTTGGCATATTGAAACACATAAAGTTTTTGGCCCAGAGCAGTTTTGTTTGCTTGTTCAACTCATTTGCTGTATATATATATATGAGATGATCGATGGTTGTCGTTATTCCGCAATTGGCTGTCGTTTTCTCCTATAATATAACTGATATACGACGGCTTCAATCAATTTATTGATGATAATAAATTTATCTTTATATATCCTCATTTTATTATCTCCCCTTCTCTCCATTTATCAATTGATACCTAT